AAATACAAAAATTAGCTGGGCATGGTGGCATCTGCCTGTGATCTCAGCCACTTGGGAGGCTGAAGCAGGAGAATCACTTGAACCAGGAGGCAGAGGTTGCAGTGAGCCAAGATTGCGCCACTGCACTCCAGCCTGGGTGACAGAGTGAGACTCTGTCTCAAAAAAGAAAAAAAGGAAAATCTGTCATCTGAACCCATAGTGGCCATTTCCAGCCGTCTAAGAGGGCACTGGCCATCTGCCCTTCAGATTGTTTCCTTCCCTTCTCTACTCAGTAGTTTCTCATAGCAAATTCTAGGCTTTTGGGCTCAGACTTCCTGTCCCTTGCTCCCCCACCTGCACCAAATCACTGCAGTCAGGCACTGGTTCCTCTTACTACCCACTGTGGTTTAGTACTCACCTAGCATTCTGGAAGGAGCCTGCCCTGCACCCAGCATTTTGAAGACTGCAGAGGCTCAGAATAGACCCCTGAGTGCCATGATTGTGCTGAGTTCTACCCTGTGGTCATTCTAAGAGTTCAGATGCACTGGGCACAGTGGCTCATGCCTGTAATCCCAGCACTCTGGGAGGGTGAGGTGAGCGGATCATGGGGTCAGGAGCTTGAGACCAGCCTGGCCAACATAGCGAAACCCATCTTTTCTTAAAAAGAAAAAAATATATACATATAAAATATATATATACGCAAACATATATACAAAAAAAAAAAAAAATTAGCCAGGCACAGTGGTTCATGCCTGTAATCCCAGGACTTTGGGAGGTTGAGATAGGCGAATCACTTTAGATCAGAAGTTTGAGACCAGCCTGGCCAACATGGTAAAACCCCATCTCTACTAAAAAAAAAAAAAAAAAAATTAGCCATGCATGATGACGCATGCCTGTAGTCCCAGCTACTCAGAGGCCGAGGCAAGAGAATTGCTTGAACCTGGGAGGCAGAGATTGCAGTGAGCCAAGATCATGCTACTGTACTCCTGCCTGGATGACAGAGCAAGACTGTCTCAAAAAAAAAACAAAAAAAAAGGAAAAAGAAAAGCCGCGTTTAGATGCCATTGGAGTGACCTCATCCCCAGACCATGTGGATGGCCCTGGCTCCTCGGGAGATCCATGGATTGACTCCTGTTCCTCTCTTGAGGCTGCAGTTCGTGTTCTCCAAGCCCTGTGAGACCCACAAGTGCTCCTATTTGAAGGTCTTAAACCCTCCTGGTTTCTCCCTGAGGTCTCCTCTCACCATTTCCCCACTGTATTCCAGTGCCTGTGGCCTCAGGGACCCACAGTCTCAAGGCCTTGCATCAGACTAGGCAGCAAGCACCTCACTCATAGGGATGCTTCTCAGCCAAGGGCTTGCACTTTTCTAGTATCTCATCAGTAGACCTTGAGAGGAGGAGGTGTGCTGGTGCAGGGAAGCCACAGGCTCTGGTGCAGCCAAAAGATGAAGTGACCAAGACCACTTGAGCTGCCAGCTAAGGGAGGGGAGCAAGTCAAGGAGTCCCTTAGTTTCCCTCCTGCCCGCAGCAGGCTGCACACGTGGTCATCCCCACCCTGGCTCACATGGGTTTGCACAGGTGTGGGCCCTGAGTCTCTTCCCCAGCAGGCAGGACCCCTGACTTCCAGCACGGAGCTGTGGTGCCCTCCTGCCGCCACTGTGGATTCTGTGTAGTAGAGAAAACCCACCTACAGAAGGAGAGGTCAGCAGATGTGCAGAGGCAGAGACAAAAGAGGGAGAGAGTGTGGGGCTTAGTTTTTAAAACCCTCCCAGGTCCCAGTTTGTGTCCCTGAAATCATTCTGCATTTCTTGCCTTTGTATGCTCACAATAAAGTGCTTGATTGATTTTTGCACAAATGTTCCTCTTTGGGTTCGTTTCTCTTACTGGCAACCAAATCCCTTCTATTTGATACCCTCCAAAGGAGGTACATAGCTGTATAGACCCCACACAACTGTGCAGGCAACTCTCCTCCTCCCACACCCTCTCCAGCCAACCCCTCCTTTACATCCACATATGCATTCATATACCATGCCCCTTGCATCAGTCATCCAGGGCAGCATGACAGATGGCCACATACTTAGCAGCTTACAACAACACACGTTCATTTTCTCATAGCTCCTGTGGGTCAGGAGTCCAGGCACAGCTTCTCTGGTCCTCTGCCCAGGGTGTTCATCTGCTGCAGTCCAGATGTCAGCCAGGGCTGAGGTTTCATCTGGAGGCTGGACTGGGGAAGGATCCACTTCCCAGGAAGTAGGGATCATTGAGGGTCAACTTAGGGTCTGTCCTTCACACACATGAAACATCATCACAAATAACATGTGGTCAGGGGGATATTTGATACAAGGAAGAACCTCCTTCGATCTAACAAAAAACAGGGTTCTGTTTTCACTCTTTCTACTTGTATTTGGACTTGTTTTTTTGTTGTCGTTGTTGTCATTTTGTTTGTTTGTTTAAGATGGAGTCTTGCTCTGTCCCCAGGCTGGAGTGCAGTACTGTGATCTCAGCTGACTGCTACCTCTGATTCCTGGGTTCAAGTGATTCTCCTGCCTCGGCCTCCCAAGTAGCTGGGATTACAGGCACTCACCACCACGCCTTGCTAATTTTTGTATTTTTAGTAGAGAATAGGTTTCACCCTGTTGGCCAGGCTGGTCTGAACTCCTGATCTCAGGTGATCCACTCACCTTGGCCTCCCAAAGTGCTGGATTACAGATATGAGCCACTGCACCTGTCCTGAATTTAGTTTCTGTGCACATCTGTAAATTGTATTTGGGTTTTTTTTTTTTTTTTTTTTTGAGACGGAGTATTGCTTTTGTTACCCAGGCTGGAGTGCAATGGCGCGATCTCAGCTCACCGCAACCTCCGCCTCCTGGGTTCAGGCAATTCTCCTGCCTCAGCCTCCTGAGTAGCTGGGATTACAGGCACACACCACCATGCCCAGCTAATTTTTTTTATTTAGTAGAGACAGGGTTTCACCATGTTGACCAGGATGGCCTCGATCTCTTGACCTCATGATCCACCTGCCTCGGCCTCCCAAAGTGCTGGGATTACAGGCTTGAGCCACCGCGCCTGGCCGGGTTTTTTTTAAATTAATAAAAATTATACTTATGGCATATGACATGTTTTTGTATATGTATATATTGTGGAATGGTTAAACTAATTACCATGTCCATCACCTCCATTATCTTTTTGTTGGTGGTGCTGAGAATATTTAAAATCTCTCAACTGGCTGGGCACAGTGGCTCATACCTATAATCCTAGTACTTTGAGAGGTTGAGGTGGGCAGATTGCTTGAAGCCGGGAGTTTGAGACCAGCCAGGGCCACATAGCAAGAGCCCGTCTACAAAATAAAATTAGCCAAGTATGGTAGCTAAATGCCTGCAGTTCCAACTACTCAGGCCGAGGCAGGAGTTCAAGGCTGCAATAAGCCATGATTGTGCCACTGCACTCCAGCCTGGGTGACAAAGGGCAAGACCCTGTCTGTAAAAAGAAAAAGAAAAAAAAAAAAGGCCAGACATGGGGGCTCAAACCTGTAATCCCAGCACTTACAGATGAATGCCAAGGCAGGTGGATCACTTGAACCAGGTGTTGGAGACCAGCCTGGACAATATGGTAAAGTGCCCTCCCAACAAAATACAAAAAAATTGCAAGGCATGGTGGTGCGTACCTGTAGTCCCAGCTACCCAGGAGGCTGAGGTGGGAGGATCACCTGAGCCTAGGAGTTCAAGGCTGCAATGAGCCATGATTGTACCCTGAATTCCAGCCTGGGCAACAGAGTGAGACCTTGTCTCAAAAAAAAAAATGCAAAGGATTGCAGACTTCAGCCTGAGAGTTTGGGAAGGTCACAGAAGGATTCCAAGCAGAGGATTGGCTTGATCCAAGTTGCTCACCCTGCCTGTGGCTGGAGAATGGGAAAGACAATGTGGGAAGGCCAGTCAGGAAGCTGGACAGAGATAGCAGTAGCCAGAGCCATCATAGTGACAGCTCCCGCTGAAATACACTGCTGACCCCAGCCAGAGGTAACAGAGGTCTCAGTGTGAGGGGCAGGCTTGGACGGGGAACTCAGGACCATAGTGGAAGCCCCCCATGCCACCCACTCCCCTCTTTTGGGCCTTGGAGGCAGAAGCTCAGCCTCCTCGGTGAAGGCTGTTCCTTGAGCCCACTTGCTCCAGAACCATCCCAAGCTCCTTCCTGGAGCAGCTAGTTTCCCGCCCATACCCGATCTCAGGAGGGCTGGGGGTGCCCTCCTGCAATTTGGATGTGTGTAGAGAGCTGAGCCTTCTGACCAGAGTAGGGGTTGGGCCAATGCATTTACCTGTGCACCAGGCCGGTCCCAGCTGTTGGTATCAGGTAGGAACCAGAAAGACATCACTGAGGTATTAAGTAGGTGCATAGCTCCTCATCCCCAGGGGTTCCTGTTTATTTTCCTCGGGCCTAGAAATTGGGGTCCCTCCAGAGACTCCCCTGCTTTCCAGCTCTGTCAGGCCAGGAAGGGGCTCTAGTCTACGCCAACACCCCACCTTATCCCAGGCCTGAATGGCTCATGGCTCTGGGCTACCCCAGGGATAGTCTCAGGGCTCATTCCTTTGGCCCTGTCCTGCTCTCAGCTCTGCACATGGCAAATGCAGCCCCAGTGGGTCCTTCCATCAGACTCCATCGAGCCCAAAGCAGGGAAGCTGAGGAGGCTGGCTCTACCCAGAACAGGAGGTCGCTGCTCTGCAGGTCAAAGCCTTCTAGCCCTTGGTGAGGAGGTTTGTTAAGATGCCCATCTGCCTGGCTGCTTCTTTTTAAGGAAGCATCATCATGGGGAATTAAGCAAAGAAACAGTCTGGGTGCTTGGCTCACACCTGTAATCCCAGCACTTTGGGAGGCCAAGGCAGGAGGATTGCTTGAGCCCAGGAGTTTGAGACCAGCCTAGGCAACATAGGAGCAACCAGACCCCCCCCCCGCATGTCTCTGCAAAAAAAAAAAAAATTTTTTTTTTAATTAGCCAGGCATGGTGCATGTCTGTAGTCCCAGCTACTCAGGAGGCTGAGGTGGGGAGGATCACATGAACCCTAGAGGTTAAGACTGCAGTAAGTCATGAGGGTGCCACTATACTGTAGCCTGACAGAGTGACAGGGTGACAGAGTGAGACCCTGTATCAAAACCAAAAAAACAAAACCTAAGCCAGAACTTAAGAAGTGCACACAATTCCCTGATTTTCTTATAGCACAGGATTTCAGAGTACCAGCATGGGTCTATTTCCAAGAAATACCTAGGAGAAAGTATCACAGTGAGAAAACTCTTGGGGACCAGCTATTCCTTCACCCAAAGCCAGCCAAAGTGGAAGGCAAGAGGTAGAATGCACGTCCCGTTCTTTGCACTGTGAAGGTGAGCTGGGAAAGTTCAAATGCTAAATGCCCAGCTCAGGAGATGTAGCTGCCATCAGGCTGGGAGGGCCCATGAGTCCCTTTGCTTCTTTATCCTTTTGAATTTGGGTATTGATGTTGTACAGTGGATAAGAAGAATGAGTAACTAGTCTTTTGTGAAAGGAAACTTTTACATGTCTCTCCTTTTTCCATCTTCTAACCTTCAATTATTTTTCAAGAAGAAAAGAAGCCGGGCATGGTGGTTCATGCCTCTGATTCTAGTACTTTGGGAGGCTGAGGTGGGGGGATCACTTGAGGCCAGGAGTTCAAGACTAGCCTGGGCAACATAGACCACATCTGTAAAAAAAAAAAAAAGAAAAAATTAGCCAGGCATGGTGATGTGTGCCTGTAGTCCTAGAAACTTGGGAGGCTGAGGAGGAAGGATCAGTTGACCCCAGGAGTTATTACTGTTCTTGTTTGTTTTTTGAGATAGAGTTTTGCTCTTTTTGCCCAGGCTGAAGTGCAATGGCATGACCGCAACTCACTGCAACTTTCGCCTCCCAGATTCAAGCGATTCTCCTGCCTCAGCTTCCCATGTAGCTGGGATTATAGGCACACTCCATGAGACCCAGCTAATTTTTGTATTTTTAGTAGAGACAGTGTTTCACCATGTTGGTCAGGCTGGTCTTGAACTCCTGCCCTCAGATGATCCACCCGCCTTGGCCTCCCAAAGTGCTGGGATTACAGGCGTGAGCCACTGTACCTGGCCTAGCCCAGGAGTTTGAGGTTGCAGTGAGCTTGACCATGCCACTGCATTCCAGCCTGGGTGACAGAGCGAGACCCTGTCTCAAAAAAAAGAAGAAGAAGAAAATAGCTAAGTGTCATGTTGCACATGGTCTATAAACGCTGGGAAGCCTTGTGGTAAACAAACAAAAACTTTATTATTTTTTTCTTTTCATTAAAAAAATGGAGCATTGAAGAGAAACAGAGTTTGGACCCCTGGGTTCACCCCACACTAAGCAAAGTAGCCCCAGATAAAGATGGCGCAGCTCACGCAGAAAATGAGATTCACATCCAGAAGGGTCTTCACCAAGGGGTTTTCTTCCAGGGAAACTATGGCGGGTTCTGCTCTGGCTGGGAGCTCTTCCTTGCCCTTGTCCTGTATTCCGCAGAGCCACAGGATGGCCTTCACCACTTTGGACTGCTTCCGGGTCATGTCACCTAGCAAGAACCCAGCAAAAGACTATAGAGGTGGTTTGTGTCTCCCAGAGAGGCGAGAAGGGAACACTCACCAGGTGTGTTCAAGTGCTGGAATTACAGACGTGAACCACCATGCCTGGCTGAAATCTCCCAATTTTTTTTTTTTTTTTTTTTTTGAGACGGAGTCTCACTCTGTCACCCAGACTGGAGTGCAGTGGCACAATATCCGCTTACTGCAACCTCCACCTCCAGGATTCAAGCAATTCTCCTACCTCTGCCTCCCAAGTAGCTGGCACTACAGGCACACACCACCATGCCCGACGAATTTTTGTAGTTTTAGTAGGGATGGGGTTTCACCATGTTGGCCAGGCTGGTCTTGAACTCCCGACCTCAGGTGATCCACCTGCCTCGGCTTCCCAAAGTGCTGGGATTACAGGCTTGAGCCACTGCGTCTGGCCAAAATCTCTCAATTTTTAAATGTTAATTCACATTTTATTAAAACTGTAGGTGTGCTAAACCAAAGTATGTCTGCAAGCTGCCAGTTTAGCAGCACTGAGAGAAGGCAAGTCATGTTCCTGTGGGGTGCATGAGGATGAAATGAACCATGTAGGCACTCAGCAAATGTTTGCTGTTAGTACCCATAGGAAGCTTCTGTTGAAAGTTACTAAAAACTCCTTTCCTATGGCCGGAGCGTGGGGACAGATCAGACACTGGAGCCAGAGGATGCTAAAACTCCAAGTCTGCCCACTTTGCTGGCTGGTGATTTGATGGGGGGGCGGGAAATCCCTTTAACACGTAATGCTTCTCACTGTAACGGAGGGCAGAGGCTACTCACAGCTTTGGGTTTTAGACATGTTTTCTGGAACCATCTCGAACTGGCCCCTGCTGCTGCTGGCCTCTGGCATCCCATTGTGAGAGAGGTTAAGAGACAAGGGAGTTGCTGGTGGCCCTTGTTCCTTCTGGACCACGGGGTCATGACGAGTAAACCAGGTCAGGTGGCTGACCTAAGGAGCAGGAATGATGATGAGATTTGTGGTGGAGGTGGGGGGGGGTTCCATCCTCTTCTCACACTCCCGCCCCACCCCACACTCAGCCTTTGTGTCTGAAGAATCTACTCCCAGCCCCACCCTCCCACCCCATCCTCCAACAAGTGTCACATCCCTGCGCTCTTCAGCATCAGCACACAGTTCCCCCACTCATTCCCATGTCTTTCTCTGATAAACCCCATCCTCATGCTGCTGGGATGTGATTATCCCTCATTCTAATCCTCAGAGCTTAACCCTCACACTAGAGTACCGCAGAACCCAAGAATCGGTCATTTGGGCTCATCCATTTCTCTGGCCACAGGGACTGAATTGGTTCACGGATGAGCATGTGTCCTAAGCTGACTCCATCAATGGGAATCTAGAACTTTGCTAGAAATTCTGGAATAGAAATACTTATGTTTACTTTTTTTTTTAAGGGCCTTGCTTTGTCACCCAGGTGGGAGTATGGTGGCACAGTCATAGTTCACTGCAGCCTCAAACTCCTGAGCTGAAGCAATTCTCCTGCCTCAGCCTCCCTAGTAGCTGGGATTACAGGAATGAGCCATCACACCCTGCTAATTATTTTTTCTTTTTCTTTTTGAGACAGGGTCTTGCTCTGTCATCCAGGCTGGAGTGCAGTGGCATAGTCAGAGCTCACTGCAGCTTCAAGCTCCTGGGCTCAAGCAATCCTCCCGCCTCAGCCTCTCTAGTAACTGAGATTATAGGCATGAGCCATCACTCACTCCTAATTTATTTATTTTTTTTAAGAGATGGAATCTTACTATGTTGCCCAGGCTGGTCTTGAGCTCCTGCTCTCAAGGGATCCTTCCACCTCAGCTTCCCAAAGTGCTGGGATAACAGACATGAACCACTGCACCCTAGCCTTACGTTTACTTAATGATGGTAAAAGAGGATGGTAGATCTCTAGAAGCTACTGGGCTCTGTATGGGACCTAAGAATCGAAGCAGAAGTGAGAGATGGATTCTGATGACCTTTTCGGAGTCCTGAATCATCCTGCCCCTGAACCCCAACCCTGGACTTCTCAGCTTTTTAGACAATCAGTCTCCTTCGCTTAAGCCAGTTTGGGTCAGTTCTCTGTCATTTCCAACAAAAAGTCTCAATGGATCTAGCCATCAGCCCAAATGTACCATCTCCTTGGAGGGTGGCTCTGTGAACCGGCTCACGGTGGAGACAGTGATGAGGGTGACCGTGGACAGGATCATGGAGAAGTAGAGGTAGTGAATGCTCTTCACCAGGACCGGGCGCTCATCTGGCTGGTCGCACCGAGGCTGCATGTAAATAAAGTCCAGGACCAGCCTAACCAAGCCCAGGAGCAGACCCGAGATCAGGCCCCAGAAGGCACCCTGCAAAATCAGAACGAGATCATCTTAGAGATGCCAAGGGTTCTGGCCTCCAGGAACCGCGGGAGCATCTCCAGGGCTTGTCTTTCTTGTGGCGGTCACTGCATATGTGGATCCGCAATTTGGAAAGGCTCTGCCATACTTACTCATTTACCTTTTATAATGAATCAATTACCAATAATTTACTAACTCCCTCTTAATTTAGCTTCCCTGTTCAATAACAAAAAATAATGCATCTAGAGACTTTTGAGAGTCTCTCTTTTTTTTTTTTTCTTTTTTGAGATGGAGTCTTGCTCTGTCACCCAGGCTGGAGTGCAGTGGCACAATCTTGGCTTACTGTAACCTCCGCATCTCCCAAGTTCAAGAAATTCACCTGCCTCAGCCTCCCAAATAGCTAGGATTACAAGCACACTCCACCACACCCGGCTAATTTTTGTATTTTTAGTAGAAACAGGGTTTCACCATATTGGTCAGGCTGGTCTTGAACTCCGGACCTCATGGTCTGCCCACCTTGGCCTCCCAAAGTGCTGGAATTACAGACTTGAGCCACTGTGCCCGGCTGAGAACCTTTTTTTTTTTTTTCTTTTGAGAAGTCTCACTCTGTCACCCAGGCTGGAGTGCAGTGGTGTGGTCTTGGCTCACTGCAACCTCTGCCTCCTGGGTTCCGCTGATTCTCCTGTCTCAGCCCCGGAGCAGCTGGGATTACAGGCACACACCGCCATACCTGGCTAATTTTTGTATTTTTACTAGAGACCAGGTTTCACTATGTTGGCTAGGCTGGTCTCAAATTCCTGACCTCAAGTGATCTGCCCACTTTGGCCTCCCCAAGTGCTGGGATTCCAGGTGTGAGCTACTGCACCGGCCCTCTCATTGCTTTTTTGCAAAGTTCAGATAAACACCCTCCCTGTATCTTCCACCATGGAACTCACCCTCCCTGTCAACACCCAAGTCCAGCCTGTGTCATCCTCCAGTGCCCTCCCCTCCCATCCTATCCCAGTCCTTAAGGGTCAGCACTTGGTTCTGGCATAGTGGGAGCTGTCCAGAGCTACCTTTTCATTGGTCCTCTTCCAGAAACATCCCATGATGAAGACCACCGCCACGGGCGGCTGCAGGTAAGAGCTGATGGACTGGATGTAGATGAAGAGCTGGCCACCCTGGCTGGCCTGGACCACAGGGATCCAGATGATGGAGACCAGGACCAGCAGCATCACAAACACCCTGGTGCCAGCGAGAGGCGCAAATTAGCATCATCTTCCCTAAACATTTACTCCTCTCTCTCTCTCTCTCTCTCTCTCTCTCTCTCTCTCTCTCTCTCTCTCTCTCTCATCTCTCTCTCTCTCAATAGCTAGGGTCTTGTTCTGTTGCCAAGGCTGGGGTGCAATGGAGAGAGTATAGCTCACTGCAGCCTCCAACTCCTGGACTCAAGTGATCCTCCTGCCTCAACCTCCCGAGTAGCTGGGACTACAGACACATGGCAACAATCCTAGCTTATTTTTATTATTTTAATTTTCTTTGTCTCTCTTTCTTTATCTTTCTCTTTCTCTCTCTCTCTTTCTTCCTTCCCTCCCTCCCTCCCTCCTTCTTTCTCTCTTTCTTTCTTTCTTCTCTTCTTTTCTGAGACAGTTTCTCCCTATTGCCCAGGCTGGAGTGCAATGGCATGATCTCGGCTCACTGCAACCTTCACCTCCCGAGTTCAAATGATTCTCCTGCCTCAGCCTCCCAAGTATCTGGGATTACAGGTGCCTGCTAGCATGCCCAGCTAATTTTTGTATTTTTAGTAAAGACGGGGTTTCACCATGTTAGCCAGCAGGTCTCAAACTCCTGACCTCGTGATCCACCCTCCTTGGCTTCCCAAAGTGCTGGGATTTCAGGCGTGAGCCACCACACCTGGCTGAGATAGTCTTGCTCTGTCACCCAGGCTGGAGTGCAATACTCACTGCAACCTCTGCCTCCCGGGTTCAAGCGATTCTCCTGCCTCAGCCTCCCAAGTAGCTGGGACTATAGGCACATGCCACCATGCCAAGCTAATTTTTTTATTTTTAGTAGAGACAGGTTTTCACCATGTTGGCCAGGGTGGTCTCAAACTCCTGACCTCAGGTGATCCACCTGCCTCGGCTTCCTAAAGTGTTGGAATTACAGGTGTAAGCCACCAAACCAGCCTCTATTACTTTAATTTTAATTTAATTTAATTTTCCTTTTTTTTTTTGAGATGGAGTCTTGCTCTGTTGCCCAGGCTGGAGTGCAGTGTCACGATCTCAGCTAACAGCAAGCTCCACCTCCTGGGTTCAAGTGATTCTCCTGCCTCAGCCACCTGAGGGAATACAGGCGCATGCCACCATGCCTGGCTGATTTTTGTGTTTTTGGTAGAGATGGGGTTTCACCATGTTGGTCATGCTGGTTTCGAACTCCTTACCTTGTGATCTGCCTGCCTTGGCCTCCCAAAGTGCTGGGATTACAGGCGTGAGCCACCGTGTCCAGCCAATTTAATTTTCTTTTCTTACTGAGACAGGGTTTCACTGTCACCCAGGCTGAAGTGCAGTGAGTGGCATGACCATGGCTCACTGCAGCTTCCACCTCCTAGGCTCAAGTAATCTCACCTAAGCTTCCCAAGAAGCTGGGACTACAGGTGTGCACCATCATGCCCAGCTAATTTTTTTTTTTTTTTTTTTGTAGAAATGACCATGTTGCCCAGGCTGGTCCTGAACTCCTGGCCGCAAGTGATCCACCTGCTTCAGCCTCCTAAAGTGCTGGGATTACAGGTAGAAGCCACTGCACAAAAAAATTTTTTTTTTTTTTTTTGGAGATGGAGTTTCACTTTTTTGCTCATGCTGACCTGGAACTCTTGGGCTCAAGTGATTCTCCTGCCTCAGCCTCCTAAAGTGCTGAAATTACAGATATAAGCTACTGCCCCCAGCCTCTATCTTAAAAAAAGAAAAAAAAATTTACTGAGGGGCTTGGAGTGGTAGATTATACCTATGGTCCCAGCTACTCCAGAGAGTTGCTTGATCCCAGGAGTTTGAGGCTGCAGTGAGCTGAGATAACACTACTACACTTCAGCCTGGGTGATACAGAGAGAGACCTTTTCTCAACAAACAAAAACCATGTATTGAAGTATAATTTATATGCCATGAAATCCACCCAATGTACATATGCAATCCAATGGCTTTTAGTAAATCTATAGAGCTGTGCAACCATCACCAAACTCTAAACAGAACATCCATCACTCCAAAAAGCTCCTGGCACCCATTCACAGTTAATTCTGGCTGTCACCCTAAGCAACCACTTGTCTGCCTTCTGTCTCTATGGGTTTACCATTTCTGGACATTTCCTGTAAGTGGTATCATATGGTATGTGGTCTTTTGCATCTGATTCTTTCATTAAGCATAATGTTTGAGGTTTATCCATGTTGTAGGATGTGCTGGCATTTCATTCCCTTCTAGTGTTGAAAAGTATTCCATTGTCATGGACATGCCATTGTGTATTTTTTGCCGTTGGTGGACATTTGGATTGTTTCTACTTTTCGGCTTTTATGAATAGTGTTTCTTTTTTAAAACTTTTTTTTATAAATATGGGGTCTCACTATGTTGCCCAGGCTGGTTTCAAGCTCCTGGGCTCAAACAATCCTCCCACTTCAGCCTCCCAAAGTGCTGGGATTACAAGCATGAGCCACCATGCCTGGTGTGAACAGTGTTTCTATGAACATTTGTTTACAAGTCTTTGTGTAGACATGTTTTGATTTCTAGGAATGCAATTGCTGAGTTACATGATAAGCTTATATTTAACTTCTTAAGAAAGTTCCTGGCCGGGCACAGTGGCTCACACCTGTAATCCCAGCACTTTGGGAGGCTGAGGCAGGTGGGTCACTTAGTCAGGAGTTCAAGACCAGCTTGGTCAATATGGTGAAACCCCGTTTCTACTAAAAATACAAAAATTAGCCAGGCATGGTGGTAGGCACCTATAATCCTGGCTACTTGGGAGGCTGAGGCAGGAGAATTGCTTGAACCTGGGAGGCGGAGTTTGCAGTGAGCCGAGATCACACCATTGCACTCCAGCCTGGGTGAAGAGAGCGAGACGTTATCTAAAAAAAAAAAAAAAAGAGAGAGAGAGAGAAAGAAAGAAAAGAAAGAAGGAAGGAAGAAAGAAAGAAAGAAAAAGAGAAAGAAAAACCGCCCAACTTGAACAGCTGAAGCATTTTATTTTCTTACCTGCAGTGTATGAGAATTCCAGTTTCTCCATTTCCTTCTCTGTCATTTTTATGGTAGCCATCCTAGTGGCTGTGAAGTGGTGTAGTTCTAATTTGCGTTTCCCTGACTAATGATGTTGAACATCATCTATTCATCCACTTGTTAGCCATTTATGTATTTTCCTTGGTGACACGCCTAGTACAGTCTTTTGGTTGTTGGTCTGATTATGTTTGAGAGTTCTTAATATATTGATTATGTTTGAGAGTTCTTAATATATTCTGCAGGTCCTAATTTGTCAGATATGTAGCTTGCAAACCTTTTTTCCCCAATTTTGGCATTTCCTTTCATTTTCTTGATGGTGTCTTTTGAAGTGGAAATGTTTTAAGTTTTGATGAAGTCCAGTGTATCTTTTTTTGTTATTGTTTTAGAGGCAAGGCAAGGTTGTCCAGGCTGGAGTGCAGTGGTGTGATCACAGCTCATTATAGCCTTGAACTCCTGGGATCAAGTGATCCTCCCACCTCAGCCTCCTGAATAGCTGAGACTATAAACACACGCCAGCATACCTAGCTATTTTTTTATTTTTATGTTGAGATGGGGTCTTGCTATGTTGCCCAGGCTGGTCTCAAACTCCTGGCCTCAAGCAATCCTCCCACCTGCCCCCACCAAAGTGCTGGGATTGTAGGAGTGAACCACCCATTTGGCCTTTTTTTTTTCCTGAATTGTGCTTTTGGTGTCACATCAAAGAACGTTTTTCCTAACCCGAGTTGGAGACAGCCTCAAGGTGCATCTTCCTGAGTGACTGAGCCCCAAGGTGCTTATTTGCATATGTTTTCCATAATATTTACATACCATTCATTTCAGTCATTTTAGTTCCTACCATTAGCCATTAGGACTTTGCAGAAACCTTTTCCCCAACCCCCAAAACACCTTTCTCCCTTTTACCTGGCTAACTCCTATGCATCCCTCAGCTCCCAATCCAGGTTGGGTGTTCCTCCTCTAAATCTCCAGGTCTCCTGACTCCCCTGTCATAACTGCCATTGGGTTGTAATTATTTGGTTTTTTGGTACTGGAGTGCAGTGACGTGCCTCCAGTACACAAATCGCCTCTAGGTTCAAGCAATTCTCCTGCCTCAGCCTCCTGAGTAGCTGAGATTACAGTCATGTGCCACCACAGCTAGTTTCGTACTTTTAGTAGAGACGGGGTTTCACCATATTGGCCAGGCTGGTCTTGAACTCTTGACCTCAAGTGATCCACCCCTCTTGGCCTCCCAAAGTGCTGGGATTAAAGGTGTGAGCCACCGCACTCAGCCGAGTTATAATTATTTACTTATTCTCCTCCTTCTCTAGCTCCACGAAGGCGAGAACTGAGCCCTTTCATGGTTATCTGCCCAGTGCCTGGTCCACAGTAGGTGCTCGTTGAGCATCTCCTGAATGAATGAATGTCTTGCACATGGAGTCCTAACGCTCTTCGGCCTGGATAAGTTGCTGGCTGGACCTGGACTTTGCCTCTGGGTTGGCTCGGCTCTCTCTTCCCCCTGCCCTGGCCCCACCCAATAGGGACTTACCTGCCCACAATCATGAGCTCCTTCTCGGATGCCCGAGGCCGGAGGTGATTCCAGAGGTCCATGGTGAAGATGGTGCTGGCACTGTTAAAGATGGAGGTGAGGGAGGACATGAGAGCCGCCACCATCACAGCCATCATCAGCCCACGGAGCCCTGGGGGGTGGAAGGGAGGTCATGGGCCTTGGTCCTTTTCTTCCAAAGCAGCCAGTCCCAGTGAACTCAACTGGAGGAGGCAGAACCTGGGGGAGGACAGCGGGGCAGAGCTTCCTGCAGGAGTTAGCCTTTCTTGGGGAGCCTAGAGCCTGTTCCTCCCCCCAGACCTCCCTTCTTGACCCTGCTTTAGATCAGAGCCCAGCCAGTCATCTCCTTTCTGGGTGCTCCAGGGGACTTGATTCAGGGGCGAGAGGACATTACCTGTGGGCAGGAGTTCCAGCACGAGTTTGGGATACGCGATGTCAGAACAGCCTGAGGGGTTGCTGCAGACCTTCTGGCAGATCTCTGGATCTGCACAAGCCACTTGATCTACGGAGGAAACACAGGCCCGGAGCTGAGCAACCAGGACCCTACGGACCCGCCCAGGCAACATGGGTACAGACATAGGTTTATTATATAGAAGTTTATAGCTCAATGAAATAAAAGAGAGTCTAGACTTTATAAGCTGTGACCTTGTTACTTAAGCTTTCTGAAGTGAGTTGCCCTATTTGTAAAACTAGGATAATAACATGACTTTACAGGAAGTGCTGGAAAAACAGCTATTGTTATTGTAATCCAGATAAAGCTGGGACACCTAGAGGCCCGTCTTACAATAGTGTCTTTTTTTTTTTTTTTTTTTTTTGAGATGGAGCCTCTTGCTCTGTCGCCCCAGGCTCACTGCAACCTCCACCTCCTGGGTCCAAGTGATTCTCCTGCCTCAGCCTCTTGAGAAGCTGGGATTACAGGCACACACCGCCAAACCCAGCTAATTTTTGTATTTTTTGTAGAGATGGGTTTTTGCCATGTTGGCCAGGCTGGTCTTGAACTCCTGACCTCAAGTCATCTACCCATGACCGTTAACTCACTGTTCAGTAACAGCTGCTTACCTGTCCTGGGTTAATGAATCATTTCTATAAAGAGAAGTCAGAATGCTTCACACCCACTGATGTCTGAAATAAGATGCCTTTAGTCCAGTCCAATCCAAACTTAGCACAAAACCTCTTTCTTCCACAAACCCAACATTAACTGAAGCTTCCCTGCAGCTCAGGGGCTGCAGCAAGCTTTGTACATACACCTCATTTAATTTTCACAACTCTACGGGAAGATTATCCCTATCTTAAAGACAGATAGATAAACTGAGGCCCAGAGGTTAGTTTCTCCAGATTATATTGCTAGTAAGTATTATGGCCAAGAGGCAAACCCTTAGTTTATTCCAAAGGTCAAGTAAAGAAGATTGGCTTTGTAAATACTGCATTTCTAGACTCCATGTGTATGTATGTGTGTGTTTTTTGTTGTTGTTTGTTTGTTTTTTGAGACAGTCTTGCTCTGTTGCTCAGGCTGGAGTTCAGTGGTGCGATCTTGGCTTACTGCAATCCCAGCTTCCCAGGCTTGAGTGATTCTCTTGCCTTAGCCTCCTGAGTAGCTGGAATTACAGATATGTATCACCACGCCCAGCTAATTTCTTTTTCTTTTAATTAATTAATTTTTATTTTTTCTCGAGCCTAGACTAGAGTACAGTGGTACAATCTCAGCTCACTGCAACCTCTGCCTCCGAGTTAACTGATTCTCCTGCCTCAGCCTCCCAGCCTGTAGCTGGGAGACGTGCCACCACACCCGGCTACTTTTTTTTTTTTAGTAGACATGGGGTTTCATCACGTTGCCCAAGCTGGTCTCAAACTCTTTGCCTCAAGCGTTCCTCCCGCCTTGGCTTCAAAGTGCTGGGATTGTGTTTTGAGGGTTGTTTTGCTTCTCTCTTAATTTCCATTTAAGTTTAAAAATATGTGCCATTTCTCATGGATGAAGCTGGAAGCCATCATTCTCAGCAAACTAACACAGGAACAGAAAAACAAACACCACATGTTCTTACTCATCAGTGGGAGTCGAACAATGAGAACACATAGACACAGAGAGAGGAGCATCACATACTGGGGCCTGTCAGTGGGTGGAGGGCAAGGGGAGAAAGAGCATTAGGACAAACACCTAATGCATGCAGGTTTTAAAACCTAGATGACAGGTTGATGGGTGCAGCAAACCACCATGGCACAGTATACCTATGTAATAGGCCTGCGTGTTCTGCACATGTATTTCAGAACTCAAAGTTTAATTAAAAAATAAAATGTGCCAGTTTTCAGATGGACTTAGTGGAAGAGGGTTTTTTTCCAGGCTCACAAAAACTCAGGATCAGAACATACTTTTAGGCAGCTGTGGACCCAGTTGAAGATTTAGGAGGGAACTGGTGGAGCCATTGTGGAGACAGAAGTGCAAATAGGGAGGCACAGTGTTTGGCCTTGGGGTTTAGGAGCACATCAGACCTGAGGTTCTCAACCTTCTAGGGGACTTGTTAATAAAAAGGTGGCTGGCACAGACATGTGAAAAAATGCTTAACATCACGAATCATCAAGCACATGCAAATCAAAACCTCATCTCACTCTAGTTAGAATGGGAATCATCAAAAAGACAAAACCTAATAAATGCTGGTGACAATGTGAAGAAGGGAACTCTCATACATCGTTGGTGGAGATGTAAATTACTACAACTAGTATGGAAAACTGTACAAGGTTCCTCAAAAAACTAAGAGTAGAACTACCATATGATCCAGCAATCCTACTACTGGGCGTATATCCCGATACAGTTTGGCTCTGTGTCCCCACCCAAATCCCATCTCAAAGTGAGTCGAGGGAGGGAGGTGACTGGATCATGGAGGCAGCTCAGGGAACTGCTCTGGAACCACAAGACCTTAACTTAGTGATTTCCAAAAAATATAGTTGAGGCAAGATCCTAGTTGAGTCTCCACTCAATTTGGCCTAGGATACCTATAGAACTTGCCTGTTGAATCAATGTTGAAAAACAGCATAGAGTCACTAGATGCCTAGATAGAGATCTCATCACTAGGAAAGGACTCTGGCCAGGCATGGTGGCTCATGCCTGTAATCCCAGAATTTAGGGAGGCCAAGGCAGGAGGACCACTTGAGGCCAGGAGTTTGAGATCAGCCTGGGGAACATAGTGAGACACTGTCTTTATAAAAACTTAAAAAAAAATAGCCAGGTGCAGTAGTGTATGCCTGTAGTCTCAGCTACTTGGGAGGCTGAAGTGAAAGGATCCCTTCAGCTCAGGAGTCTGAGGTTGCAGTGAGCTATGATCATGTCACTGTACTCCAGCCTGCGTGACAAAGTGAGACCCTGTCTTTAAAAAATGCAAATAACAAAAAAGGACTGGGCATGTTGGTTCATACCTGCAATCTCAGCACTTTGAGAGACCAAGGCGGGAGGATGGCTTGAGGCCAGGAGTTCAAGACCAGCCTGGGCAACATAGCAAGACTGCATCTCTACTTTTTAAAAAACTTAGCCAGGCATGTGGTGCATACCTGCAGCCACAGCCACTCAAGAGGCTGAGGTGGGAGGAATGCTTGAACCCAGTAGTTCAAAGTTACAGTGAGCTATGACTGCACCACTGCACTTTAACCTGAATGACAGAATGAGACTCTGTCTTAAAAGAGAGAGAGAAAAGACTGTAGTCACATTCTCTTGAGGCTTCTAATAATAGGTTTAGAACAATTCACAAGGTCTGAGACTCACATACTGATGACCTCGTCTCCCAACTGTGTTCTCACCTGGGAACAGGATGCGGCTGGCCATCCCAGGGAACACCATTATGAAGAGGGGCAGCACTTTCAGGTACGCAGCCATCAGAGCACCTCCTTTGGCATGGGACAGGTTCTTGGCAGCCAGAGTCCGCTGGACAATCACCTGGAAAAGAGCAAGAGGGTTGGAAACTGGGAATGCCGATACGGTTTGGCTGTGTCCCCACCAAAATCTCATCTTGAATTGTAGTTCCCATAATTCCCACATGTTGCGGGAGGGATGGGGTGGGAGATAATTGAATCGTGGAGGCAGTTCCCCCATACTGTTATCATGGTAGTGAATATGTCTCATGAGATCTGATGGTTTTAAAACGGGAAATCCCTTTTGCTTGGCTCTCATTCTCTCTTCACCTGCTGCCATCCATGTAAGACGTGACTTACTCCTCTTTGCCTTCTACCATGATTATGAGGCCTCCCCAGCCATATGGAACTGTGAGTCTATTAAACCTCTTTCCATTATGAATTTCCCAGTCTCAGGTATGTCTTCATCAGCAGTGTGAGAACGAACTGTATTAAGAGACTTTCTCTTAAGGCAAATGGTGTGTATAGGATCTTGGTAGGTGCAAGAGACTTAGGATCTTGGTTTGCCAAGCTTCTCTTTGAGGAAACATGTCTTTCCTATGCTGAGTTCCTGTGGTCTAATTCGGGTAGCTATGACGCCCACCCCATTCCCTCCCTATTCCTTTATCCATGGGTTACACCTGGCCAATTAGAGTTCACCACAGAATTATTCCACCTCTCTGACTACCATGATCCATTAAGGAAAAGCACATTCCCAAGGCAATCCAACCACAGTTCTCCATGGAACTTCTTCCTTGGAGGCCAGGAAGTCAAAGGAGGCCAGGTTGTTGGGGGAAACAGCAATGGAGGAAGGGCTTACAGAGTGCCAACATAACGTGGTTACAGTTAGGCCTCTGGAGAGGCAAACTTCCCCAAGCCTTCATGTTCCAGGTGCAGAGTGACCTTGACTCTGTTACAGTGCATAACATGCTCAAGGACTTAAAACCCCTTTTGTAGCATTACAAAGTCACCAGACTTGTAGGCTCCCTGTGAGATTCACTCCCTCCAGCTGCACCTAGAATGCAATCTACAGATAACCACATGCTTCTGCTTTTCAAAGTTTCCCACAGAGCCGCCACTGCTAGCAGTCTTTAGAATGACGAGCCCAATTCCTGTTCAACAAAGATTGCTCCAACGTCAGGCCACCCCCTCCCCACTATCACCTCACCTTCACCCCACCATCTGCTGACTGCTCAAAGTGATTGTAACCAATAAATACTGTGGGGAACCCAAGCTCAGGGCCTTCACTGCCTCTATTACAAGTGATGGTCCCTGGTCCCACTTTCATTCTTAAGCTGTCTTTTTCTCATTCCTTTTTTGCCACTGAACTCGGGGTACCCATGGGTGGGGTATGGGGGCTGGCTCCCTACATTCTGGCGCCCAACTGTAGGGTCTCAAGAATTTTGGTGAAGGCACAACTGAGCGTGGTAAAGAGGAGGAACGAAAGACAGAGGACTCCCAAGGATGAAACTAATCAGCTCTACAGGTGAGTAGGGCACTCGGAAGGATACCAGGGTAACAGTGGGACAAGCTGAAAGCCAGTATGTTACTTATTCACACTTAGTGAAGTACCTCTTTTTTTTTTTTTTAGGGAAAAAGAGAAAAAGAAGGGGAAAAAAAGAAAAAGAGGGAAAAAGGAATATAATATTACTTCATTCCTAAAATGGGTTTCAATAATGGCCGATCAATATTTTGAGTGTTTAAAGTGGTTAATGCATATTTTATGTGTTTAAAATGGAGACCTCTATTGTGTTTATTTGTTCTGGCTCTGAGTTCAAGTCCTGGATATCGTTATCAATTTGTTGTCTCGTTGAATCTAAATCTCATTATGTGTCTTATGTATCTGGGTGTTAAGATCTCTTATTGTTACATTAATCCTTTTACCCTTGCAACCTTGTAGCTTTGAAATCTATTTTATTAAGTGTGAGAATTGCAACTCCTGCTTTTTATTTATTTATTTATTTATTTATTTGCTCTCCATTTGGTTGGTGAGTTTTTTTCCATCCCCTTGTTTTGAGTCTTTGTATATCTTTAGATATATCGTTAGATTTTGTGGATAATGTATATTTTGTGTGTTTAAAATGGAGAGCTCTATTGAGTTTATTTGTTCTGGATCTTAGTTCCAATCCCGGATATCATTATCAATTTTCTGTCTCGTTGATTCTAAATCTCATTATGGGTCTTATGTATCTGGGTGTTAAGATCTCTTATTACATTAATCCTTTTACCCTTGTATCCTTGTAGCTTTGAAATCTATTTTGTCAAATGTGAAAATTGCAACTCCTGCTTTTTATTTATTTATTTTTGCTCTCCGTTTGGTTGGTACTTTTTTTTTTTCCAACCCTTTATTTTGAGTCTATGTATATCTTTGGATATACTGTTAGATTTTGTCTGTATCTTTTGATTGGGAGATTTGGTCGATTTAAATTTAGGATTGCTGCCATTTGATATTAACTGGCTATTTTGTCCTTTTGTTGATAAAAATTCTTCTTTATGTTAATGCTCTTTACTTTTTGGTGTATTTTTAGAAAGGGTCATACTGGTTGTTCCTTTCTGTGTATAATGCTTCTTTTAGAAGTTCTTGTAAAGCAGGCCTGGTGGTAATAAAATCTCTGAGTACTTGCTTGTTCCTAAAAGATTTTATTTTTCCTTCAAATGTAAAGCTTAAATTGGCAGGATATGAAATTCTAGGCTGAAAGTTCTATTGATTAAGTATATTGAATATTGGCCCCCACTCTCTTCTAGCTTATAGGGTTTCCGTTGAGAGATCTGCTGTAAGCCTAATAGGCTTCCCTTTTTGGGTAACCTGATCTTTCTCTCTGGCTGCCCTTAATATTTTCTCCTTCATTTCGATCTTGGTGAATCTAACGATTATGTGCCTTGGGGTTGGTCTTCTTGAGGAATATCATCGTGGTGTTCTCTATATTGCCTGGGGTTGAATAGTGTCCTGCTTTGCTAAATTAGGAAAATTTTCCTGGATAATGTCCTGGAGAGTATTTTCCAGCTTGAATTCATTCTCTCTGTCACATTCAGGTACACCAATCAAGCATATATTAGGTCTTTTCACATAGTCCCATATTGCTTGGAGACTTTGCTCATTCCTTTTTTCTCTATTCTTGTCTTGTCGTTTTGTTTCATTAAGCTGGTCTTCAACCTCTGATACCCTTTCTTCTGCTGGATCCATTCGGCTGTTTAAGCTTGTACATATTTCACTAAGTTCTCATGTTGTATTTTTCAACTCCATAAGTTCATTTGTATTCCTCTCTATATTGTCTATTCTTTTCAACATTTCATCTAACCTTTTTTCCAAGTTCTTAGTTTCTTTACATTGGGTTAGAACAAGTTCCTTTAACTCCCAGAAGTTTCTTATCATCCACCTTTTAAAGCCTACTTCAGATAATGGAACACAGTCCTTTTCCATCAGGGCTTGTTCCGTTACTGATGAGTCCTTTTCCATCAGGGCTTGTTCGGTTGCTGATGAGTCCTTTTCCATCAGGGCTTGTTCCGTTGCTGATGGGTTCTGATTTTGAGTATACTCGGCCTTCTTAGGCTGTTTTTTTCCCTTCATTGTAGATGAACCGCCTTTCTAATTAGGTTTCTGAGTCCACATCAGACTTATTGATTCCCAGTGCTGGGATCCGAGAAACCCACTGTGGCAGCCTAAATAGCAGCGATAAGACTGATGGTGCTCTTCTGCCCGGGAATCTCTGGTCTGGCTTCCCTCTTGGGTCCGCAACAAGCGGTTCTGACTTCCCGGAGCTCCAAACTCCAGTCAGTAGGGGAAGCAGTCCCGTTGGCTCTGCATGAAGAGCTGCTGCACTGAGACGCCGGCAAAACCGCTGCAGCAGCCACAAGAGTCGAGCTGGCGACATGTGGGGCTCCTCCACTGGGAATCGGCTAATCGGTGAGTGACGAAAATTCGTCTAAAGATGTGGCGTCGTCTCGTTCTCTGAGCTTTCACTGGGAGCTACAATCCTGAGCTGTTAGTGGTCGGCCATCTTGGATCGATCTCCTGAAGCACCTCTTAAAAAGAGGGGGAGTTAAAATTGGTACTAGCAGCTTGCTCCGTCCATTGTTTTCAATGAATCTGTGCTTTCTTACTCCGTTCTTCTGCTGCTTTCTTTGACTTTCATTGCTTTATCAAGGAGCTGGGGAAGAAGGAGTAACTGGGCTGAGGAAGTTAAAGCCAACCCAGTTAAGTGAAAAGAAAAAACAAATGAGGAAAAAGAAGGAGTCCGTCTGTCAGCCCCTCCGCAGTATTTTGTCAAGGAGTTGCCAGATCCACTTGACATTGCTCCATTAGAGGAATCAGAGGCCATTTCCAAAGTGAAACTTGCTGCTCCAGCAGCAGCATTCAAGCCAACAGGCTCAGCCCAAGGCCAGCAAATGCTGTCGGGCGTGGGAAACAAAACGCAAGCAAAAGGCTGCAAGCAACAAACAGCCGCTGGGCGGGGCCGGCACAGCTGCCATTCCCGGGACCCTCGCTGCCACCTCTGGTTCCATGGGTGTCCCACAGTAAAATGTTGTGTGTTCTTTGTAAACAAGTAATATCCAAAATTGTAATTCTCTAATAATAACTACTGTGTTGTATCTAAGGTAACTCTTTTAAAATCCAATTTAAGTAAAGCAGTAACCTCTAAAGAGAAAAAAATTACAGTTAGCCCACAAATTAGTTAAAAAGCAATGAAAAGGTAAGCAAGTAGGGCTGGGCACAGTGGCTCACACCTGTAATCCCAGCACTTTGGGAGGCCGAGGTGGGTGGATCACGAGGTCAAGAGTTCGAGACCATCCTGGTCAACATGGTGAAACCCCGTCTCTACCAAAAATACAAAAAATTAGCTGGGCATGGTGGCGCGTGCCTGTAATCCCAGCTACTCAGAAGGGTGAGGCAGGAGAATTGCCTGAACCCAGGAGGCGGAGGTTGCGCCATTGCACTCCAGCCTGGGTAACAAGAGCGAAACTCTGTCTCAAAAAAAAAAAAAAAAAGCTAAGCATGTAAAACCACACCCTTTAAAGAAAAACTTTAAACCAAATTAAATAATATTA